TTTGATGCAACATTTTAACTTTTAACCTTTTCCAAGGTAGTGTGCGTAACACATCTATAAGTCATAAAAACAATACCTAACACTGAAATTGATATATACATGTAGTGTGCACAATCAGAAACCAGTCAAAGGTGTACAATGCAGGGAATTAGGCTTGCTGACTTGGGTGATGCACATCATTATATCACAGTTGCATAGATTATTGCACATGATTTCAATCATTGGATAGTCTGGTCCAGACTCAGTTATTATCAGATTGCAGCCAAAAAACTGGAAAATTGCTCAGTGAGGCTTTAAACAACAAACAGGGATTTACAGGATGCGAATTCCTGCATCCTATACGCATAAAAATTGACAATGGACACAACAAAATTTATTAGCACGTCCACGGAGACTCAGAAAAAGTCCAAATACTTTTTGTAAAAATTCCAATCAAGTGACAATAAGTTATCACTGAGTTTGCTACTAGCTGGGTTATGGTATTATTTGCAATTTAATTACTGTAACAATGTGATGATCACGATACACAATACAATAACAGTATTAATAACAAGTGGTTGGCACCTCCATTTTGTTGTCCAGGACCCCCTGAAAATTAAGAGTATGAGTCCCAAGGACCCTCAAATACAGGACTCAAGGTAAATCCCCGAACAAACAAAACAAAAAGTTATTTTCAAATATCCAGACATGGTGATCAAGGGAGAACTATGTTTCCACAAACTGAAAATCGACACGATTTAGTTGCTATCCAGTGTGGCTCAAGAAGCCCTTTTGGAAATATTTAATGCCGGAAATGAAAGTGGTGATATTCTGGCATTTCTGTGTGACTCGAATGATGAAGTCTGCTGACATTCATCACAAGCTCTGTGACATTGTGGCACAGCCTACATGAAGCATTGTTTATATAACACGAGCAGACATTTGTGGGCTTCCACAAGCATGTTTTATTCATATCTCCATCTACAACATTTTACAGTGTGATAATGGGAGAACAAGATCAAGCTGTTCCTGCAGCAAAGGTTAAAACATGGACGATCAAATTGCAGTATCTCTAGGGCAGAAAACATTCCAAATATCCTCTAAATGTAAGATCTAGTGGCCTGCTGTCCAGAGTTGCTTCCCTTTGCCATGCCAGGATCTGCTAGTTGTGGGCAGGGTTTGTATTCCAGCTTCATCTTGATTTTGATCCTAGTTATGTCAGCTGCATGCCTGATCTCTTTATCAGTGTCGGTGTCCACTTGGCTTAGCCAAGTGGTTAAAACATTTGCTTGTCACACCGAAGACCCGAGTTCGATTCCCCACATGGGTGCAATGTGTGAAGCCCATTTCTGGTGTTCCCCGCCGTGATGTTGCTGGAATATTGCTAAAATTGGCGTAAAACCATACTCACTCACTCACTCACTGTTCTTTCATCAGACAGGTATTAGGTAAGATATGCTCCAGTTTGTCTTTCATCCCACACTGCCATGATAAGACTGGAATACTGTAAAAGCACTCTTAAACCCCATTTCACTCACTCCGTTCTATCACAGCAATTATACAGCTGATGTAAGAGTAATCTGTCAACTCTATAGATCGAGCTGTGCAGATAAGGTCGATTCAGTGTATTTCAGGATTGAGACTTTCATCAAGTGTAACAGAAAAACTTCCAGACATTCCACAACTATCAACAACTGTATTTAACCTCCAAGCCTCAGATGCAATGTTTAGTTCACAAATGCAAGGGTTGTTCAGTTCACACATGCCAGCTTGGTGGGGTAGCCTAGTGGTTGAAGTGTTGGTTTGTTTGATTGATGGCATGGAAACTATACTATTTACACTTTGCTAAGGATCAAATCATTGATTCAACAGAAAACTGTGATGTGGGGTCAAGTTTGGTTTAAATATCTAAAGCTTATTGTAAGCATGGATCCTAGGTTTCAGTATGTCACTGCATCTTGTACATCCCATACCTGCTATTGACAGGTGTTGGGTGCTTGTCAATGACCTGTGCCATGATATGCAAAATGGTTGATTGGTGCCATGAAAACCATTTTTGGTTACTCATGTATCAAGTGCATACGGTTAGCTTAAAGTGGCTGTTTTCCTAAAGATGTTTTACCATATCATTATTTATCCAGTTATAAATGGATACAATTTCAAATTATAAATCTTTGCTTAAGTAAGGTTGCGAATTTTGTGTGATCCTTAGCAAAGTGTGAGTAGTATAATTGTAAAGCCCAGTCGTGATACCCATATAGGCCAGGAGGCAGGAGCTGAAAATTGACATATTGGTACCACTCAGAGGGACCAAACACTTTTATGTTTTTTTGGTCTCTACATATAAAAAATGTATGATGGCCATGTCAGTTTGGTAGCTCAAACTCAGAACGAGGCTTAGTCTAAAATGGCCGCCAAAAAACTCCAAAACTTTAAACAATTGTCAATTCCAAGCTCTAATCGTGAGTAAAGTTCAACAAATAGGTTTGAAATGAAAAAAGGAAGGTAAAATAGTGCTAACATGATTAAAAAGATTTAATAAATATCAAGTTGTGTACTTTTATACCTTTAAATCATATCGTTTCCGGTTTTTGTAAGAGTCGAAATTGTAAGTTCAAAGAGCTTTTTCAAAAACTAATCATTTTATTTATTCTGAAGACAACTCTTTAATATCGAAGAGTGAGAGCACCTTCAAGTTCCTTAAATTGGTTAGTGATAGTCACTGTTCCGCATCATAAACATCAGCTGCATCATCAGCGTCACACTTCGGCATGTCATGGTCCGCGCATACCATGTTGTCACAAGTCTGGTTCCGACATGTCACAGTGCATTTCAGTCCATTGGTAAGGCATTGACAACTTGGCAGTTTAAAGACTGTTTTGCACTTGCAAGAAATGAACTCAAGAACAGCATCTTGAACAAGAGGTCCTGTCATCCAGCAAATCTCTATGTGACCATTTTCTTCCACCCATCCATGACCATCTGTTGCCCGTGTAGTTGGATATTCAGCTTCCAGACAATTGTTCCATATCACAGCTGGATAGTTTGCTCTCAGGATGTGCATAGATAGACCATCAAAGCAGGGTGGCAACTGTCCTGATTCAATTCCCCTTTTTCTCACTTCAAATACGTGGTAGCGCAATTGATGGACATCCCTTATTTGAGAACCTGAGGCAGACAGGTGAATACATTCTAGGGGTAGCCTAGCGGTAAGGCTTTCGCTCGTCATGCCGAAGACCTGGGTTTGATTCCCTACATGGGCACAATGTCTGAAGTCCGTTTCTGGTGCCCTCCGTCATGATATTGCTGGAATATTGCTAAAAGCTGTGTAAAACTAAACTCACTCACTCACTCACTCATCTGCTGATGGTGTAAGAAGTAGCCCTGAAATGTTGTTTCATGTAACATAAAATCACATGGCATCCTGTTTTGTACAGATGTATGGCCGCAAGTGCCAGTTTTGAGAATCAAGGTGAAACATGTTTTTAAAAGTATTTTGTGTTTTTTTGAAGATTACATGATCCTTTTTTCATTGAAGTAAGACTTCAGAACAATAGGTTGCAGATAGCTACACACATCTGTTTCTGCTGATAAATGTGGTGACCGTTTTTATCTACAGAATCAAAGCATAGTCTGTATCTGCATCAGGAAGAGTGCTTACCTGTCAGTCAACAAGTACAATGTCTGCCACTGTACAATTATTTAAAACTGCATAATTCATCCTGACATGCGGAGACCCAGCATGTGTATTTTTAACTTAACTATTATGAGTGTTGTGTGAACTGCATGCCCAGACAGACTGTATTTTTGTTTGTTGTTTAATGCTGTACTCCACACTGCTTTGTGATCATGTGTAAATTACAATCTGGGTATGAAAATAGAGTGATTAATATTCTGAGCAATGGTCCGCACCATTGGGGTACAGTTCCGGTCAATAAAACAATAACTGAGTGTGACATCTCATGGCATTGGTCACTTCTTTCAGTCAGCTTAGGTTGTTCAGAACCTATTCTGATCTAGAATCCCCTTAAAGTTCAAAATGGAAATGATACCAAGATTCTCATCATGAGGGGGCGGTTGGGTAGCCCAGTGGTTAAAGTGCCTGCTTGTCATACTGAAGGCCTGAGTTCGATTCCCACATGAGTACAATGTGTGAAGCCCATTTCTGGTGTTCAATGTTGTTAAATTGCTGGAGTATTGCTAAAAGCGACAAAAGCATACTATCTCACTCACTCATCATGAGAATTACATGTCTTCTGAACATTGCAGTCCATGATAACCTTTGCTTCAAGCAGTGAGTGTGGGGTGGTTTGGTAGCCAAGTGGTTAAAGCATCTGCGCGTTACGCCGAAGACCCGGGTTCGAATCCCCTCATGGGTACAATGTGTGAAGCCTATTTCTGGTGTCCCCCGTCGTGATGTTGCTGGAATATTGCTAAAAGTAGTAAAATCGGCGTAAAATGAAACTCACTTACTCAACATTTAGTGAAGGAATGTTGTATGTTTATTCATTGTCTGGAAAATTCAATTTTTAGAGTTGTGAAATTTAACTGAAAGTGTGTATTCTTGATGCTTTCTGTCATTTGCATTGGGGTAGCCTAATGGTTGAAGCGTTTGCTCGATACGCTGAAGATCAGGGTTTGATTCCCCATTGGGTACAATGTGTAAAGCCCATTCTCCCAACGTGATATTGCTGGGATATTGCTGGGATATTGCTAAAACCATACTCACTCACTCTTAACTTTTGGACCAACTAGTTTAAGAGTATATCACACATTATAACAATGAATGACAAAGGTATCAAAGCAATGGGTGCATTGATCGCCCAGTCATCAAATGCAGCAATTTGCTATACAGAGTTGTGTCCTTTGGGCATGCCAGAAACCTATGATCAGTGGTTTGCATCCCTGTTTGCCTTGATTATGTTTCTAGGTCTTGTTTGTTGGTATGAGTAATAAACACCAGTGATATCACTCCAGACTTTTCCTCCATAATAAATGAACTATCAGGAAGTAAATGTCTAAGCAGCGTTTAACCCGATTCACGCACCCTTTCAGTTTCAAAAACACAGAAACTCTTTGGGTGTAAAGTGTATGATCATTAGGTGAGTGGAGCATTTTTCCTAGTCAGCAAATAATGTCTTGATATGGGACTTGGGACTTACACCTATGTCATTTACTAAGAGCCGAGTTGTATTTTTATGTTAATAGATATGTTTTGACTGATAAAGTTAGTGTATCTGGGGACTCTATATAGCTTATTCGAACATCCAGATTTCTTTTGATGGACCTTGCTTGGACCAGTTGACACTTGTAGCTGGTTTATTGATAATTCCAAACCAATGTTTTCTGTGACCTAAGGTTTTATCATCTATTTTTATTCTGTATTATATAATATACATAGATGATGTGTCAATTACACACAAGGTACTTGTGCTACACGGTCCAGTTGATATCTTAAAACTGTGTGACAATCTCTTACCTCCATATTCGTTCAGACTCTGGGAGTTTTCCCTTTCATCAATTTGAAACACCCTGATACAAGAGTTGATTGGTAAATTCTAAGCCTCACAATTCAGTGTTCACTCTGACCCTCTGACAAATCCGGCAGATTCACCAACAGTCCGATAGAAGTCTACAACCCGCCGGCCCCAGTGTCTGACTGTATATTTCACAATGAGTTTGACTGAAGTTGTTATATGTGGCATGTATCACTTGTTTCCTGTTCATAAATCTTATGTTTGTTAATAATGTCAATGCCAATTATAAGAAATGTTAAATCTGAAATATGTGTTTAATTTTATTCTATGGGTCCTTTGAATTTTCAATGGGTCAGACAAACATCTGAAACTTACAGGACCCAATGTCCTGTTACTTTGAAACACTATTTGTGAACACTGGAATAAATAAAAATTTAAAATTTAAATCTTTAGTTAACTATATGACGTCTTCTGTCAGTTGCGCCGATTTTCTCACTGTGACATACCAGCAAATTATGCATGGGTCTGTGACCTTTGTATAATGGATACACTTAAGGAATGTTCAGTATCACATGCATGCTGTGGAGTGTTGTTTGAGCTAGTAATAGTGAACTCAGGTGTCATCCAGTCACGAAGGTTGCAACCATGGCTAGATAATCAACCCTCATGTAGCAGAACTGTTCATAGGAAGGTAAGCCTCAACTCACTAGGTCTGTAATGATTTACTGATGCTAATGATATCAAGGACAATAGACAATACAATCACAAGTGTGTCTAACTTTGATGTGTTGACATTACTGCTGTCTCTATATAAACCTTGGTCCCGTCATAATCCTTATTTAGTCATCATTTGGTGGTTGCGTCAAACTTTGGATAAGTTGAGGGTAGGTGCGGTAGCCTAATGGTTAAGGCATTTGCTCATCACGCCAAAGACCTGGGTTTGATTCCCAACATGGCACAATGTGGGAAGCCCATTTCTAGTGTCCCCTGCCGTGATATTGCTGGAATATTGCTAAAAGTGGCATAAAACTATACTCACTCACTCACTCACTCACTCACTCACTCACTCACTCACTCACTCACTCACTCACTCACTCACTCACTCACTCACTCACTCACTCACTCACTCACTCACTCACTCACTCACTCACTCACTCACTCTATACTATAGAAGGGACTGGAACTGTTAGACTTACCTCCCTTAGTGGCAGACGTCTACAAGTGCCATCAGTAAGAATGGCAAAACAATGGCAAAAGATGCGGATAACGCTAATCAGTATTACATATAATAACCGTCCCAGCATTTAAAACCAAATGTTCTTGGTTTTGGGGCCAATAAAAAGTTTTTGTTTTTGAAATAATACTAAATTTATGTATGATGAAGCAAGAGTGATATTTAAGCGATATCCCTGACTATTTGTTATGGTGTAACATGATACCAGTGGTATTGTCAGTATGTATCATGATACGTATTGTCCAGCAAGATACAAGGTGATAATCAACTTTATCACTCACTCAAACCTGATGGTCTCATGTTTTGACAGTAGGAGCAATGGTTTACGGTTTCAGTGGGTGGTTGTGAACCAAGGTTTGTTTATTATTTCCTTGTTCTGTAACTTTTTTTATTATTTAAGGAAATGGTGACGGATATGTGATCAAGTCCCTGTGTGACATTGTTTTGCTCTGACACAAACAGAAACGAATTTTATATCATCTGGAGATATAATTCATACCACTTACGGGGCATTGGGGTAGCCTAGTGGTTAAAGCGTTCACTCGGGTTCGAGTCCCCACATGGGCACAATGTGTGAAGCCCATTTGTGGTGTCCCCCACCATCATATTGCTGGAATATTGCTAAAAGCGGCATAAAACCATACTCGCTCGCTCATAGCACTCACGATTTAATCAAATAGTTTGATGTTTGGGGTTCCCCTGGGGCACAGTTTTTACACCCGAAGTAGAATTTCTCATTGATTTCATGACAGTGATATTACATAGTCAGCAACATGGCATCCATCATTCTCAAGGAGCAGGGTTAGAAGTGGTCATATAATCATGTTAATTTAAACTGTGGTAGTCCACAAGGAACTGCAACAAGTCCTTGAACTGATCAGGTATCCAACTCTACCATCTTATGTGGAATTTTAGAAAATATATGTTTAAAGTCCCAATGCCGTGTGAATTGTCGGATTCTTCTGGGAAATATTTCATGATTTGACAATCCAATGACAAAGTACCCGTGAAGAGCTGGGTTAGAATTAATCTTCTACAACCCATGCTGGGTACAATGTGTGAAGCCCATTTCTGGTGTCCCCCGCCGTGATGTTGCTGGAATATTGCTAAAAGCGGCGTAAAACCAATTATCATACAATGAATAGTGTTCTCGGCAGGATAAATTCAACGGATAAGTTCGGTATCCTTTGGGGTCATATACGGATATCGATGCAAATTAGAGAGGTCATATGCAAATTTCAGGGACTACTTTCACAGTGTAAACAAACATGGCGTCAAGCGTCGGCGGTCGTGTCCGGATTGACGGCCGTGGTTATGGTACTGTCAATGCTTTGATCCCAGAAAATTCATGCCTGGTTATGATAGATGGAATAGATTATAAAGCGAAGATAGAAATTCATAGGCTTACGAAGATACCAACATCAGTTCCCCGGCCGACTGTCAGTGTTAGCAAGAGAACGGCATAGGTGCACAATGTCACGCGAACATTAAAGCGTATTTTGTTGTTCGAAAGGTTAATTGAAGGTTTCTGAAGTTCCACGCGAGTTTGTTGTTATTTTTCAAACGTAAGCTAAGATTTGTTGACAACAATACGTGCTTTAGCATAAAGCTTACTGGAAACTAGATGACCTACCGCAGTCAACTGCGTGATCAGGAGAAAATTTATGTCACCGGGCTTGTGACGTAACATATTTCTCCGCACATATTTGTGACGTCATACTATATACATTCCACGAAGTTTAGTTTCATGATTTGTAGCGTTTCAAATCGCATTTTTTAAAATTATAAAGCAAAAATGACATTGTATGATAAATATGTTATCACACTCGTGTGTTTTGGGATGGTTAATATCCTGCATTAGGAATAAACACTATGTATATTCAGCTCGCCAAGGCTCGCTAAATACAATGATTATTCCTAATGCAGGATATTAACCATCCCAAAACACACTCGCATGATAACCTATATAACTCAGTCAGTCAGTCTACAACCCATGCTTGTTGTAAGAGGTGACTGACACAGTGGGGTGGCCAGATACCAGTTGCATAGATAAATGATCATGGGATTGTCTGGTCCAGGCTCTATTGTTTGCAGACCAATATCCTACAACTGGAATATTGCTGAGTGAGGTGCTAAACAACAAACAAACAAATCCTATGGCCAAGGACATTGCATGTTGAGATGAACTTGCAACCAGTTGTGCTTTATACAAGGAACAACGACTTGATAAAGAAAAATGTAAATTTGGTGTTCAGCAACAACAATCAACATTCTTGGTAAAAACTGTAATGTGATAAATAAAACATGTCAAACCCACAATTTGACAGCCACACACTATACATCCCAGTTATGGGGCAAACATTTGTCAATTGTTGAATATATAACTCCAGACACATACTACTAGTGATGCAACTACTATTACTTAAGTACAGGACCACATCCTGCCACGCACTATTTTTCTACAGTATTATGGGCAGAATCTTTCAAGAGACCAAAGAGTTGGAACTCATCCAAGACAATGTTTTTGCTATTAATGTAAAAATGACTGAGTTTTAAATAACCACGAGTGTGTAGTCATGGATTGTCACTTTAAAACTGTGGTTAATTTTCTTTTGTGTCGGGGCGGTGGGGTAGTCTAGTGGTTAAAGCGTTGGCTCATCACGCCGAAGACCCGGGTTCGATTCCCCACATGGGCACAATGTGTGAAGCCCATTTCTGGTGTCCCCCGCCGTGATAATGCTGGAATATTGCTAAAAGCGGCGTAAAACTAAACTCAGTCAGTCAGTCAGTCTTTTGTGTCATCCAGGAACTATGACAGTGAAAGAATTGTGTGTGGTGCACCATACTGCTCAAAGGTTGGGCCATGTTTGTTTGGCCATATAGTGCCAGGATGATTAGATGCTACAGTGTTGGAATTCCAGATTTGCCGATAATTATCCTGTCAACGCCATTGCCATGACTGGGAGCTTCATGTGGTTAAATGTACAACCATCAAACATGTTCACCCTTTGTACTCTCATCCACCATTAAACCGAAGTGATATAGCCCAAAATAGACACTTCACCTGTACGTGAAACGCAAAGATGTTTCCGAAATGTGTGTTTAAATGTCAAGTCTGTAAGATGGAATAATCATGATAATTATTTCTTTGCAATTTGGATTTTCAGGAGGGTTTTTCTGGTTTTAGCAGTGAGTGTTAGGCCTAAAAAAAAATGTCGTGGTTCCGATTACTCAACCAACCCTTGAATTCTGGCGCCGACCCTATTTTTTTTAAGTGGTATGAATAAAATATGTGTTCAGATGCCATTGTATTTTCCCAGCACCGACAAGACATTGGTCATTCTGACCGCGAAAGTCAACATGATGGCCGCAAGTTTGATTGAATAAACAA